CACTGAAAATATTTCTTTGATATTCAAGCACGTAACATATGCTTGCATAGACATTCAAGTGCATGAGCAAGAATATCAAGCGCTATAGTTTTTCCTAGTGGTCTCAAGTCTTGACTCAAGATGTGTCCATAGCGCATGACATTCAGGGTTAAGAAACTCAAGAATGTCATGCGCTTGCTAAAAAAAGTTCGACTAGGGATCAATCTGACACCAAAATTGTAATAAAGAAAAGATTGTTAACTTATCAATAGCAGAAGATTTAAACAATTGACAAGATTTCTTTGGATTTGTTGATGCACTTTCTCAAACATTAGTCTTTATGATAAAATTGATTTCATTAATGATATTATTGACTATCACAGGAAAAAATAAAGTTTTAAAAGCTATTGTTTGATAAACGAGATAGATAACACAAAGCGAAGTGTTTTCAAATTACGTTTGCTGAAACAAATTTGTTTGTAGTGTAAATTCATAGTTATAGATAAATGAAAAAACAAATGTCTTAGAATAATTTTCAAGACTTGAACTTCTGTCCAAATCTAAGATTTATAATTGAACAACGGTCTATGTTATTCGTTTGTAATTTAGATTAAATAACTAATAAATATTATTAAAATACTATCTCTGATTTATTAATTTTTATTTTCAGTTAAATATTTATTATATGAAAAAGAATTACAATGTATAGAATCATTATCATTAATACAAGCAAAACAACTTATTGATATAATTCATTATCTATATGATTGTCGTATTATTCATCGTGATGTACGTCCACAAAATTTAATGTTAGATCGTGATACTAATCATATAAAATTAACCGATTTTGGTTATGCCATTGCATGTAATATGAATAACAAAGGACGCAAAATAAGAATCGTAGGTCCTCTTACATATGCTACTCAATCATTTTTAGATGTTAAATTAAAAATTTTAACTCGAGAGTTGCCCAAAGATCATTATTATTGTTATGAACCAACTTTTGATTTAATATCTGCATTAAATATTATAATGACAGTGACTAATGCTGATATCAAACGAAAAATTGATTCAATTGATATATT